AGTCAAGTGTGAAGGTGAGGGAGGCCGAAGCCGACGCAGTACCTGAGAGCGCAGCCTCACCAGTACCTGAGAGTGCAGACGCACTGGCACCTAGAGCAGCAGCCGCAGAAGTACCTGGCGCAGCAGTACCAATGCCCGGGTCGGGCGGGAAACACTGGTAACAGTCACCCTCCTCACTAATAGTCACAGCATACATGGCAGCAAGGATAGCATCAAAGTCAAGATCAAAGACAGCTACGCCAGCCCTAGACAGCTCTCCCCAACGGGGAATCTCACTGGCCTCGGGGAACTGCTGACGCCAAGCGTCCGTCAGGCGGGCAAAGCAGCGCTGAGTGGGGTGCGCACCCCCACACTGCTCACCCGCTCGGTCACCGGAACGAAGGACGTAGGTGCATGGACCAAAACCCCCACCCCGCTGACGCTGCGTGTACCACTCACGGAGCTGCTGGGGCGGGGGGATGTCCCGCGAACGCTGCTGCTGCTGCTGCTGCTGCTGACGCTGGCCACCACCAGGGCCGCTACGCTGCGGGGCACCACCCCGACCAGCTCCACCCCCTCCGCCACCGCTGCCTCCACCTCCACCACCACCGCTGCCTCCGCTCCCACCGCTGCCGCCACCGACGCCTCCTCCTCCGCTGCTGCCACCTCCACCACCGCCCCCGCCACCACTCCCACCGCCACCCCCACTCCCTCCTCCGCCTCCACCGCCTCCTCCACCGCCCCCGCCAGCTCCACCCGCGCCCTTGCCCCCCTTGCCCCTGCCAGGGCGGCGTCTCCCGCTAGGGGCAGACGCCGCGCAGACCGACTCAAGACCAAGCAGGTCGGCAGCAGCAGCAGAGGCAACAGAGGGCAGCAGGGGGGAAGGAGAACACCCCTCAAAGATGGGGGTGCGAGGGTCACCACGAGAGGCTCCTACAGCGACGATGCTCTTCTCCGCCGCCAGGAGGGACTTCTCGAGGAGGTCGACAGTGAGAGTGGTGGGACAGACCGAGAGGTAGTGGTCCCTGACTACGCGAAGGGAGTCAGGGAGGCGTGTGACGATGTAATAGAGAGTGATGTACATGGGGGGGGGGTTCTTGGCGCAGAACTCAGCAGGAAGGGCGGCGCGGTAGCGAGTGTCACTAGTGCGGAGGTGCGTAATGAGGTCAGCGACAGTGGGAAAGGCAGCAAGGTCAGGAAAGAGGTACGGTAGCATGAGGCGGCTCAGGGCAGCAGTGGCAGGGGAAGAGTAGCGCGCAACTACAGCGTCGTACAAGGTCTGAGCACTCTTGTACTGACTAAAGTGCGCGCGCTCAGTGGTAGGCAGGTGGCGACGCACAGCAAGACGTGCAGCAGCATCGCGGGTGGCCCACTGAGAGCGAACAGTGGGGTCAGCATCAGTAGCAGGGGCAGGAGAGGCGCCAGAGGTGAGGTCAAAGAGGGAAAGACCGTCCGCTCTATCGCACTGTAAGAACAGCTGCAGGTCGTCGACCCAGACCTCAAAGTCAATGGCTCGACCCTCAGCGTCAAAAGCGAGGACGCTAGGGGTAGCCATGACGACGACAGACGAGCAGTGCAAGCAGTAGGGGAAGGGCACGCAGTGACAGTGGGGCTGTGCTCACCGGACAGGGCAGGTCGGGCGGCCCGGCAGTAGGGCGGCTCGGCTGCTCAGCGGCTCGGCGGCAGTGCGGCTCGGCGCCCGGGCGGCTCGGCGGCAGGGCGGCTCGGCTCCCGGGCGGCTCGGCGGCAGGGCGGCTCGGCTCCCGGGCGACTCGGCGGCAGGGCGGCTCGGCTCCCGGGCGGCTCGGCGGCAGGGCGGCTCGGCTTCCGGCGGTTCAGCTGCTAGGCGGCTCCCGCAGGTAGGGCGGCGGTTGGGCCGCAGGTAGGGCGGCGGTCGGGCCGTAGGTAGGGGGGCGGTAGGGCCGCAAGTAGGGCGGCGGGCAGGCCGCAGTTAGGGCGGCGGGCGAGCCGTAGGTAGGGCGGCGAGTAGGCCGCAGGTAGGGCGGCGTGGGGCCGGGACGGGCGGCGCGCGGGCGTCGAGGGGCCGGGACGGGCGGCGCGCGGGCGTCGAGGGGCCGGGACGGGCGGCGCGCGGGCGTCTAGGGGTCGGTCCGGGTGGCGCGCGGGCGTCTAGGGGCCGGGACGGGCGGCGCGTGGGCGTCGAGGGGCCGGGACGGGCGGCGCGCGGGCGTCTAGGGGCCGGGACGGGCGGCGCGCGGGCGTCTAGGGGCCGGGACGGGCGGCTCACGGGCGGCGAGGGGCCGGGACGGGCGGCGCGCGGGCGTCGAGGGGCCGGGACGGGCGGCGCGCGGGCGTCGAGGGGCCGGGACTGGCGGCGCGCGGGCGTCTAGGGGCCGGGACGGGCGGCGCGCGGGCGTCTAGGGGCCGGGACGGGCGGCGCGCGGGCGTCTAGGGGCCGGGCCGGGCGGCGCACTGGCGTCTAGGGGCCGGGACGGGCGGTACGCGGGCGTCTAAGGGGCCGGGACGGGCGGCTAAAGGGGCCACTAGGGGCCAAGAGAGAGGGGAGCGCGACTCGGGTAGGGGCAGAGTGCGCTCCGGGCAGGAAAAAAAACGGTGGGCCCTAAGAACAGTTCCCACGAGGGAACCTGCTCGATACCATGAGAAAAGTAGAACGAGGATGAGTGAACTATGAATGAAGTGAGTACATATGGGAAACCCTAATTGTGTTGTACCCCCTATGGGATACCCCACTATAGCCTACACAACAGCATAAGCTATATATATGTTCTGACAGTGCAACCATGTGGCCATCGACTGGGTCAGCTGCCCGAAGCCGTATCTGCAGCGCATGTCAAACAACACGGTGTCAGAGAATTCATTCGATCACCACAAACACGGTTGAACGTAAAGAAAAACAAAACTCACGTCGTATAATAGGTTCCGTAGCCTTTAGCGGGGAACCCGGGCACCTTAAGACGCGCGAGGTAGCGCACAAGATTCACCCATAACTCTATGGGTGCATCTTGCTTCGTCACGAAGAGCAGGGAGCCGAGGAGCTTGATTACACGCTCCTTCTCCGTGTCGCGAGCGAGATTGTCGCTGTTGATCCGTGGCTGCATGGCTGCATCGGCGAGGAGCTGCTTCTGGTGTTTCAACGCCTCCTTGTGCTTGGTTGTTGCCGCATGCCGTTTGAACGCCTGCGTCCGAACGTCTGTGGCGCCCTTTCCGCCTCTCCCGCACGGTCCAGCGTAGCCTGCGTGCTCCGTACAGATGCTGCACTTGAAAGCAGGGAAACCGTCAGTTTTTTTAAGCAGAATTAGCCAATCAAACCGCTCTAGCCACTCGCTTTTGTACTTATACAGAGCCTCCGCGTAAGATGCGTCTGGCCCTGCGGGTTTAGAAGGCCCAGGTGTTGATGGCGACGCCTGCTCGACTGCAGTCGCGGGCGTCGACTGTTGGTCGGCTGGCGAAGCCGGAGATGCTCCAACGGTACCTCCCTTCTTGCCCCACGTCAGCGTTGACTGCGTGTACCTGGCGGACTTCTTAGCCACTGGTACCGCCGCAGTTTCTTCAACTGAAGGGTTGGAGCTGTCTTGCTCCAACACGGGCGCAGTAGGGGAGGGACACAGAGGCTCATCATCGATGGGTTCAAATGGAACATCGACGGGCGGCGCGACTGCAGGCGCCTTTCCATGGTTATCTACAGCCGCTAAGTTGGAGAACAGCAGATCCAGTCCGGTAACAGCAGCGGACAGATCACGTGGCGACCGCCGATCGGCTTCATCGTTGGGGTCACCATTTTGTTCAATGGAGTCCGGGTGGTCCGCCATTGCTGCAGCTCGACCTAGCAGTCTCTAACGGACTAACGAGCTAGCCTAACGATAGAGGTATGCTAGGAAGAGAGAACATACGGCTGACTGCCTCTTGGTACACCGGGCAGTCTAGCGCTGAAACCCCAAGCAGTTGGAAGCAATGCATGGAGCAGAACGGGATGTGATGGTGGATGGCAGGTAGCACGGCTGGGAGGCGAGGTTGCATCAATGCTTGCCAGCACGACGTAGACAAAACGGGCCACTGGACCACAGGTGCAACACATGGGCCAGAATCCCTCGCAGCGCAGCCTGCCAGCGTCGCTGTGCTGCAAACTTGTAATTGGTCAAGTCACATAATGTTGCAACTGTGGCCAATGATCGGTCACGGCGCGCCAACTAAGGGGCCATCACACATTGCAAAATTGTCCGGTAGTCACCGACAGGCCCTGCTGACACTGCGGGAATCGGATTTTCCCTGTACTTCCGGTCAAGTACACTCGGACCTTGTAGGATTCGCTTTCAGGGTCAAACTCGATACAACGTAAAGGCATCAGTGTCACTGAAAAAATTGCTGAAAGTTCTGAGTCAGGTGGCATGTGAAGGCTGAATATTCAGCCCAAGGAAAATCTGAACACTGGGAATTCAGGGTAGGTAAAAAAAAAACCCTGGAAATCAGGAATTTCAGAGAAAAATTCCTGATATCGTAGGGCCTGGAATGTACCCCTTAGAGTGCATGGCTAGTCTAGGTCTTTTCGTATTCTTCTGTACTCTTATATAAACCGGATGTATGCATGCTTTTATCAACTCAGTCATTTACATTCACTCTGACATGAGATTCAAACTTCCGCTGCAATACTACTCTGCGATCAACCCTGAGCGATCCTTCGCTAAGTCCCCCTTGGGATTGTAACAAAAAGAAACAGGAAATTTCAATAGATTTGTAGTGTAAAATGGCATATGACTGATTTGTCTGTTTTTCAGCAAAACGTTTTGTACCAACTCTGATTTTTCAGCCTAGGCCAAAACGAATATGAGGCCCTGTTCACAATACATGGAGAGTACTGTTACATCGTATTCGAGAGTACTGTATGCGAGCGTACTGTATGCAAGAGTACTGTATGCGAGAGTACTTTATGCGAGAGTACTTTATGCGAGAGTACTTTATGCGAGAGTACTTTATGCGAGAGTACTTTATGCGAGAGTACTTTATGCGAGAGGATTACGCAGCGACAGAGTGAAGGGCACCTATCAGTCAGGGGCACGCAAGCGAGGGAAGGGACTGAGTGAAGAAAAAGTTATCCAGGGGCGAGAGTCGGGGGAGGAGGTGCGGGACGAGGTGTGGGATGAGGTGCGGGAGCGTGGTTGTTGCACTATGCACACCTGGAGGGTGATAAAAAAAAAAGGGGGACGAATGGGAGAGGCCGGTGAGGTGGGTGACAGAGAGAGGCGGTGATTGAAGGGAGGGGGAGGGGTGACCTGAGAGCGACCTGAGAGTGACCTGAGAGCAGCCACGCCAGCAGCCCGCAGGTTGCCCGCGAACAATGCCCGGTGGGGGGGAAGCCGGTGTAGGAAAATCAGGTGCTGGGCTGAAAGCGGGGGGGGGGGAGGGGGGGGGAAGAGAGGGGGAAGATGAAGCGAGAGCAGTGAAGAGCGAGCGCTTTGGTGAGCAGTGTGGCCGTGTTGGGGGGCCGGGAATCTGTGGGGCAGAAGGAGGCGAACCCATGGTGCAGTCAGCAGCTTGCAGGTTGCCCATGGGTCGTGAGCCGAGGCCAGTGGCGCGGAAATCCGTGTGGGTCCTAGAGGCCCTTCACGGCCAGCGGGCGGTGAACCCGTGGGGTGGGAGTAAGTGCAGGAGAAGCAGGTCCGGAGCTGGGGTGGGGGGAGAAAAGAAGATGAAGGGGGTTAAGGGCTCTGAAGGGCGGCCCTAAGAAGCGGGGGTGGAGGGGGAGGGGGGAGGGGGGGGAGAAAGGAGTGGAAACAAGGGGAAAGGGGCAGTGCGACGCTTGCATCACTTTTGATATTATTATTTACAAGAGTAAAAATCGAAGTGCGGAACAAAGGTGCAAAATAGTGCTGAAAACTGAGAGAAGTAAGTGCAGTGGGGCAGGCAGAAGTCGGTTGGGAGTAAGGGAGGGAGTACGGAAACGGGGAACGGAGCAACGGCAATAGAGAAGGGGAGGGAGTTGGGAGGGAGGGAGGGAGTAGGGAAACAGGGAACGGAGCAACGGCATGTTGGAAAGGGTAGCACGAGGATTCATGCAGGCGGGCTACACGTGATTGTAAGGATGACTCAGAATCCATGAGGGCTTCGGCAGGCAGGCGAATCACAAGTTGGTGTGCAGGAGATGCAGGCGCACAGCTGGGGGGGGCAATCATTACGTTTCTAACAGCGGCGCCCCTGGCAGTGGTGAGCATCATTCAGGTGAGGCGTGGCGCGGTGATCATCCGGCTTGGCACGCATGACGATGCCTGCGGTGCGGTGATCATCTGCCATGGTATCGCACGGTGGTGCCTGAGCACGCCCATGGCAGGCCCAGCCATACCAATCGGACTGCTTGGATTAATCAGGGATGAGTCGCAAGTCGGGTCACGGCAGCGGCAAGCACTAGGTGGGAGATTGGGGTAAGGGGAGAGGTTAGGAGGAGGTCGGGGAGGGGGAGCTGGTAAAGGCGCGGGAGGGGGTAAGGGGAGGGTTCGAGGCGGTGCTTTGGCAAGCAGTGTGGCTATGCGCGAGGGTGCAAGAGGGCATGGGAAGAGCAAGCAGGAGAGGAGCGGAGCTGGAGGGGTCAGGGATGAGGGGACGGGTGGGAACAGAGGAGTTGGGCATTTCTGGGAAGGAAGCGTTGCAGGGTGTTTTGGAGAAATTTCTAAAACTCTCTCGGAGCTCTAAGGCATGCTCTATAGCCTCCGTCAGCCCCCCCCCCCCCTTCAGCAGCCTCTCACAGTCCTTTGAGTGACTCGGCTCCTGCAGCCAGCCTATCCGCTGCAGGTTCTGCCCCTACCTGACCCTCCTGGCAGGGACCAGGCAAGTAGGGAGAGGGTTGGGGAAGAGGGGCACGGGGCGGATAAGCAGAGCGGATGAGCCATGGGATAGTGGAGATGAGCAAGTGGTCAAGGGAGATGGTAGGGGAACACACACAGGGGGAGGGAAAGGGCCTGGGTGCTTCGAGACGTCTCAACACAAGCTTGCGCACATGACATCTGCAGGTATGAGGCGGGAGGCGGGAAGGGCACGGGGATGCTTCTAAATCTCTCAAAAACAAGCACACAGTTATCGCACACCTGGCAGTGGGAGGAGATGGACACGGAGGAAAACGGGCATGGGGAACGAGAAAGGACGGGAATGTTTTGAGACGTCTCAAAACAAGCTTGCGCCGCACCATGCAGTCTGCTGGCACACAGTCCCTCCCCCACACATCTGATGGGGGGAGGAGAGGGATGGAAAGGGCAAGGGGGAGAGGGGGATGCTTTTAGATGTCCCAAAGAACAGTCACCATGCAGTCCGCTGGCACACAGTTGCCACGCACCTGGCGGGGGGAGGAGAGGGACATGGAGGGGGACGGGCATGGAGGGAAGAGAAAGGACGAGGGTGTTTCCAGATGTGGCAATACAAGCTTGCGCAGAACCATGCAGTGTGCTGGCATGCGGTTGCCCCACCCACACCTGCAGCTGCAGCACACCGAGGGGATGGGGGCCACAGAGGGGAAGGTCCGGGACGCTACAGAGGGGAGAGTGTGGGGATGTTTTGAGACGCTTCAACAGCGGCTTGTGCAGCACCATGCGGTACGCAACGCAGGCACACGTCCTATCACACCTGTTCCGGGGAACAAGGGGAGCGGGGGAGGGGGTGAGGGGGGGGGAGGGGGGAAAGGGGGGAGAGTGCGCGGAGGGGAACAGGTGGGAGAGTAAGGGTGGGGGATGTCGGACAGTGTGTGCACACCTAGCGGTCAATGGCACACGGGTGGAGGGGAGGGTGGAGAATTGTTAGCAATCCCCGTCGCATATCTCCTCGTTGCGCAAACCTCACACTTTCATCACAACCGAACCCCCCAGTCCCCTCCACTCCACCCCCCCTCTCCCCTCTCCCCATCGGTCCCCGCCCTCCCAACTCTCCACGTGCGCCTATCCCCTCGTCCCCGGTATCAACCCTAGGCGTCGGCGATCTGTCGTGGGTTTAGGCATCAACCCTAGTCGTGGAAGCACCCGCTCTCGTGCTCAATGCCCATCTGCCTCCGCTGCTCCGCGTCCTCGATCATCAGCACCAGACGGGTCTGCACACACAGTTACGTGCGGCAGGCACGCGGAGATTGGCGCGGGGAGGTTGGTGCGCGGCATGGTAGAGGGGGAGGGGGGGAATCGAAACGAGGGCAGAACGGAGGTGAGGGAAGCGCGCGAGCGACGAAGACGGACAATGACGACTAAGGAGGGACGGACAGCGATGGAAAACGACAGGCACGGACCGACAGTTGCTGACATGACCAACGATAACCGGCAGAATTGGCGAGAGCGCGTGCTCCTCCTGCACCACCATTTCGCGATGCATGGAACAAAATACAGACTCGGAATGGTTTCTTCAGAGTGCTGGTCGGTTGGCGCACATGCGTGAACGCACCTCAAGCACCCTCAAGTCGCGACACTGCATGGGAGGCGTCGGGGGTGGGAGCTTGTCTGATTCTGTGGTATGTAACGAAGTCAAAGTACAGGGAAAGACAGCGTAACTGGGCTAAGCTCGCGAAAGTGTTTCGCGGAAACAGTCATTGAAAATCAGAATCTAGCATCACGACATCATCGAGCTCGACGCGCATGAGCGACTGCTGCTCGGGAGCTTGTCTGATGGCGGGGAGCTCACATAAATATTCCGCGAAAACAGTGAATTCCAGCGACACGAGGAGACATTGACGCAAAACTGATAGTAACGGGGAGATGGGCAATACTGGGTCGGTGCGTGGAGAGAGATGGTTGGTGGTGGACCATTTCTCTCCATTAAAGCAGTTTTAGTGACGTCACTAGGCGCGGAGGAAAGTAAGAATGTATTGGCCGTGCACGCACTAAATCAACTAATTCACGTACTACGGAAACGTGGAGTTCCAAGAATCACTCATGAGAGGCCAGTCGTTCGCGAATGCATGTTCTGAAGTAAGCGATTTTATCACCAAGAATTCTAGGAGGTACTTGGAAGGTGGTGTTCAAATTCCAGTGTGGATGTTCTACATCAGACTCAGAGAGACAGGTTCCGGTGAGAACTGTGTTCGGTACAGGTTCGGTTCGCTGGGAATAAAAACGAACACCACGCAGCGGTGCTACACAAACCTTCGACGGGATATTTGTTACCATTGTTTGCCGATTTTGATCATACGCACAGTGTTCTCCCGCCAAAGTAGCGAACTGGATGCATATCGTAATCGAATGCGACCCCGGAATTGTTGGATTCAAATTTCATTTGTGTGCACTCTCAGAACGGATTAGGGTTCCTGTTGCTCTGCTCATCTTCCAGCTTACCAGATCGTGAATTAATTTTAGGTTCTACAAAATCACGCCGTTCTTAACGAATGATCCGATGTACATATGCTGTATATTCCATAAAACAATGCCGAATAGGCTTGGGATCCGTTCTGTATAGGCTGGACCAGGTTGGCATTACATACACGCCGCATAAGGAATTCGCGGGTCGGAGGCCTTTGGAAGACCGATTCTATATTATCCAAAGCCGCTGTAGCCCGTGACGAATTTGTACAACGAAGAATATGCTGTTCAAGGCTTCAAGGCCCTGCGGCGAGCCTGTTTGCGCGTATCTCAGCGGCGCTGCTAGTGTCTTTCGGAACCAGCAGGACCTGCTGACGAAATGGGAGGCCCAAATACTCGAACCCGGCACGTCAACGAGCAGAAAACAACGCCGACGAAATGCGAGAGCCGCCGGCCAGGAAGCATCCGAGAAGGCTCAGCTGATGAGCCGGACGGATATGGTTCACTTCGTGGATGTGAGCGGCGGTTGGGATGCGGGTGAGTGCGATTGGTGCTTCGACCGTGCCGTGGCCTACAGAGCTGCGGACGCCCTAGGGGAGGGCGTCACGTCGTTTCTGGTGCACCTGCACCGCGATCAGTCACCCGCCATCCCCCTCGCTCCCCCAAGCCGACCCACCAGGGCGATGCTTGACTTCTCATGGAACGTACCGGTGCAGCGGATAAGGGGGCAGCAAGGGGGGTTGGGGGGGCAGCAGGGTCGGCAAGGCGAGCAGCAGGGGGTGTCGCCTCGGGAGCAGCTCGTCTGGAAGTGTGAGAAGGCACCGTTGCTATGCGTGCAAGCTATGCTGCTCGAATGGATGGCTGAGCCTCGTGTGGGCGTGCTCATGGACCTGCGTAGGATCAGATCCCGCCTGCCTGCTGTTCTGGCCAATCGAGGCTCTCTTGGGGATTCCCCTACTGCATCAGCTGCTTCTGCATCTGCAGATGCCCCTCCTACTGCTGCAGCGTGGTCCGGCTGCTCGCGCTGCAGCAGATGCTGGGCTGCCTACCGCCGTGCTGTGAGCTTCACTGCCTTCCTCGTGCTCGTGGCGAGGTGGCCTCGAGTTGACACCGTATGGAAGGTGCATGTGAATAGATACGATGCTGGGCTCGTGTACCCAGCCCTAGTGGCCCAGCTGGGGGCGGGAAGGCAGGTGCAGAACGATTGCTTCGCTCCCGTGCTGGTGCAGGTGCTGGGGGTGAAGGAGGGTGCTGATCTGAAGGAAGGGTTTGGGTTCTTTGTGCAGCATGTGCTGTCAGGCGGGCTGGAGAAGGCGCATGCGGCAGAGGAGGGGAGCGGTGCAGATGAAGTTGAAGGTGAAGGTGCAGGTGCAGGTGCAGGTGCAGGTGCAGGTGCAGGTGCAGGTGCAGGTGCAGGTGCAGGTGCAGGTGCAGGTGCAGGTGCAGGTGCAGGTGCAGGTGCAGGTGCAGGTGCAGGTGCAGGTGCAGGTGCAGGTGCAGGTGCAGGTGCAGGTGCAGGTGCAGGTGCAGGTGCAGGTGCAGGTGCAGGTGCAGGTGCAGGTGCAGGTGCAGGTGCAGGTGCAGGTGCAGGTGCAGGTGCAGGTGCAGGTGCAGGTGCAGGTGCAGGTGCAGGTGCAGGTGCAGGTGCAGGTGCAGGTGCAGGTGCAGGTGCAGGTGCAGGTGCAGGTGCAGGTGCAGGTGCAGGTGCAGGTGCAGGTGCAGGTGCAGGTGCAGGTGCAGGTGCAGGTGCAGGTGCAGGTGCAGGTGCAGGTGCAGGTGCAGGTGCAGGTGCAGGTGCAGGTGCAGGTGCAGGTGCAGGTGCAGGTGCAGGTGCAGGTGCAGGTGCAGGTGCAGGTGCAGGTGCAGGTGCAGGTGCAGGTGCAGGTGCAGGTGCAGGTGCAGGTGCAGGTGCAGGTGCAGGTGCAGGTGCAGGTGCAGGTGCAGGTGCAGGTGCAGGTGCAGGTGCAGGTGCAGGTGCAGGTGCAGGTGCAGGTGCAGGTGCAGGTGCAGGTGCAGGTGCAGGTGCAGGTGCAGGTGCAGGTGCAGGTGCAGGTGCAGGTGCAGGTGCAGGTGCAGGTGCAGGTGCAGGTGCAGGTGCAGGTGCAGGTGCAGGTGCAGGTGCAGGTGAAGGTGCAGGTGCAGGTGCAGGTGCAGGTGCAGGTGCAGGTGCAGGTGCAGGTGCAGGTGCAGGTGCAGGTGAAGGTGCAGGTGCAGGTGCAGGTGCAGGTGCAGGTGCAGGTGCAGGTGCAGATGCAGGCGAAGGTGTGTTGGAATCACGTGCACGTGCATTGAAATCACTTTTGAGAATTCTCAAAAATGAAGGTGCAGGTGAAGATGGTGGTAGTGGGGGGGTGGAGAGGGGTGGTGGTAATGGTGGGAGCAATGGGAACGGTGAGCAGTGGAGAGGGAATATGAAGGGACATGTGTGGGAGAGGTATGTGGATGGCATGGCTTGGATTCTGGAGCATGGAGGGGGGGAAGGGAGGGAGTTAAGGTGCAGCCACTGCAGTGAGGGGGGGAGCAGCAGCAGCAACAGCAGCAGCAATAGCATCAGCACCTGTAGCAGAAAAAAAGGCAAGGGCATTCCCAAGGGCATGTATGTGAGTGGCGTGGGTGCCACTGACTTCGCCCTGGCAGTCGCCTCTGTCTTCTCCCGGCCAGAGCACTGCAATTTAGGAGCGATGGTCTTTGCAGGGGGTAGGAGTGCATCCAACAACGGAGTTGAGGAGGCAGCTATTCAGGAGGCCAGGGAGAGGCTGCTGCGACAGCAGGGGCTACAGAACGGGCTGGCAACAGGGGTGAACGAGGGAGGGGCAGCAGGAGGAGGACTTCAAGCAGCAGCAGCAGCGGCTCCAGCAGCAGGACGGTCAGTGGGAGCTGGCTGCTCTCTTGGCAGCAGCGATTCTGGCTGTTCTCTTGGCGTTGGTAGCTGCAGGAGCGGTTGTGCCGGTAGCAGTGGGACATTCAGCTCTGATCTTGTGCCTGTCAACACAGACCCTGCTATTGGTCTGCTCACCTATCGGGTTGCTCGCATCTTGCAGTGGTTTCGAATCTACGGCTCAGATTCAATCTCCGCCAAGAGCTGCTTCAAGGACAGCCCGCATGGAAAGGTGCTGCCTATACGCCACCCTCTTCGGGATCTTCCGAGCCTGCTGGTCCGGTTTGGCACTGTTCCCCCGCCTCTGGATGGAAGCATCCGAGTCGCGGAGTGGGAAGAGTGGCCTGAGGGGAACGAAGCTGCTGTGAAGTTTCCTGATGACGCCAGTGCCAGATGTTTCGGGCTGGGCCGGACGAGTGGCAGTCCGGGTCGCAAGAACAGGGGGCATGTGGCAAAGCAGCAGGGGAAGTCTCCGAAAGCTTCCACTGATGAAGCGCCTCCAATTCCGAGAGTGTGCTACCCCATCGTGCGGTGCAAGGCAGATGCAGACTTCTTAGTAGAGATGGCCGGTGTGTTTCTGGAGGCACCAGCATGTGCCCAGTGCAGCACATGCATCAGCAGGTTCGTCTCCCTCGTCCCCGCTGTCGCTCTCATCGCCAACTTCGCCTACCTCCCCGCCGCCGTGCTTCTTGATTCCTTCCTCTTCGTCTTCCCGCCGCACACAGAGGAGTTCCGCAGCCTTATCGACCGCGTGGGGCTGGACGTTCCGCCCACCCCCACCCCCGTTTCTGTTTTGCTCAGCAGCCTTGCTGCCACGCGCAGCAGCCTGCTTGAGTTGATGGAAGATGTGGATTTCTCCTGCTCCACGTGGCAATTCTTGACCCCACGTCTCTCCTGCAGCACATCAGGGCTGAGGGGCAGCAGAGTCTGCTCGTTGAAGAAGATTGCAGGGTTTTGTGGGAGGAGGTGCGGTCGTGGCTCATGGCAATAATGCTTCCGTTTCATGGTGTGGAAGAGGGGGGGCCAACTTGCAGTGGCAGCCAGTCAAGGAAGGAGGATTCGTGTGCACGTATGGATGAGGTAACTGAGATGTATCTCAGTGCTCGTCGTGGCAGCAGCAGCATCTCTAGCAAGCGGACAAGCAAGGAGGCGGAGGAGCCGGCTTATCTGAAGGTGTGGCCGGGGGGGATCAATCTTTTCACATGTCTGCGAGAGATGCTGCTGGGGGAGCCGTGCTACCGCCCTGCCTCCCCTGCTGCCCCTTCCACCCCTGCTGCCCCTTCCACCCCTGGTGCATCATCAACTGCTGCTTCAAGGGACTCTCCCACAGCAACACCTTCATCAGATGCTGCAGTCACTGTCGCTGCACCAAGCGTTGCTGCAGCAGCCGTTTCAAAAGCAAAACCCACTTCACATGCTGAAGGCTCTGGTCGTATGTCGACCGGGGGGCGCGTGTGCGGTGCTGCGGGGTGTGGGATGGTGGAGGGTGGTGGTGTGAAGTTGAAGAGCTGCGGTGGGTGTGGCAAGGTGGCGTATTGCAGCAGAGAGTGCCAAAAGGCGCACTGGCCCTCCCACAAGCTCACATGCCCCGGCAGGGCTAATGGGAAGAGGAGTGGGAAGAACAGTAGCAAGGTGAGTGGGAATGAGAGTGGGATTGTGACTGGCAATGTGACTGGCAATGTGAGTGGCAATGTGAGGGGCAATGTAACGGGCAGGTGAGAGGTAAGTTATAAGCTGACTTCCTCTAAACCTGTGATCTACACGTCACAAAATCCATGTGTATGTGCATGGGTATGTGCATGGGTATTTGCATGGGTATGTGCATGGGTATGTGTATGTGCATGTGTATGTGTATGTGCATGGGTATGGGTATGTGCATGGGTATGTGCATGGGTATGTGCATGGGTATGTGTATGTGCATGGGTATGTGTATGTGCATGGGTATGTGTATGTGCATGTGTATGTGCATGGGTATGTGCATGTGTATGTGTCTGTGCATGTGTATGTGTATGCGTATGTGTATGCGTATGTGTATGCGTATGTGTTTGCATATGTCATGGTTTGGCCATCTCCCTCCCCGGTCCCCTCACTCCGTCTCCTGTCTCCTCTACCGGCCCTGCATTTCTCACCACTTCATGCACACTCTTCCCTCCCCCCCACAATCACTCACACTTCCTCTGGGCAGGCCTGAATTGCCTCATAATGTGCAATGAGGTTCTCATGCCCGGCCTTCCTTATTGGCCATCACCATCAACGTCCACTGACCACTGCCTCTCTTGTGATAACAGTAGTCTCTCTTGGTGGTATAGTACGGTACCAGTTGTTAAGAGCCGAGGGTGGTATCTGGGTTTTTACGGTAGTTTCTGTAGCCTAATTTTGTATGCAAACTAGAATACCATGACCCAGTACTGTTAAAATTAGGATGTGCCAACCCTACCTGTATTGATGAGGGTATCATCTTATTGGCATGCACACATGCGCAGCAACTTTCTACATGTCATTTTGTTGGCTAATCTGGGTGGCATGGCATGATTCATGGGTAGGGGGGCAGTGGTAAACCAAAAGTGGGCCTACCGGTATGCTGCATGAAAGGGGTCGAGATTACACTTGCTGCTGTATCACTCACCTATATGGCCCATCCACTGGCATACAGGAGGCAAGTGAAAGAAGACGAACTTCATTTCAAATCAGTCTGGTTCTCACTACTGCATTGAACACAGCTCGCCTGCTCTTGCTGTGCCTTGAATCTGCTACAGAATACATGGTAACATGGCTGCTATACTTGAAAACCCCTGAATCCCAACTGAATCACAAAGCTGCAACATCTGCACCTTTTTTCGAGAGGAAAAGCGGAGGGAAACGGGAGGGCAAGGGGAGCAAGGAGGGGAAGGGAAGAAGTGGGGAAGGGGAGGGGAAAGGGACAGGAAGGGAGGGAAAGGGAGGGAAAGGGGAGGGGAAAGGGGAGGAGGGGAATGAGAGGGGAAGGGAAGGGGAAGGGGAGGAGAGACAAATGGGAGAGCAAGAAGAGGGAAAGCGGAAGGGAAGGGGACAGAAAGATGAGGGGAAGAGGGTTGGCCTGGTGAATGAAATGAAAGGAAGGTACCTCCCAGTCAACATGCACTGGTGCCATATGCCCACAAATGCCATGCCATACCATACCATGATCACCAAACGTACATCATGTTCACATCATGCACAGTCCATGCACATGCACGTATCTCCCCGAGGCCCTCAGAAGCCAGGCCCTCAGAAGTCAGACTTTTTTCTCTGATTTGGACTTTTTTCTCTGATATTTCAGATTTTTTTTCCTGTGTACTCTGATAAAATCAGACTTTTTTGGGCCTCAACTCTGTAATTTTCAGACTTTTTTTAAGGCTAACTCTGAGAGTTCAGAGTTTTCTGAGAGTGTACTCTGATAATTCAGAGTACAAACGCGTCCTTGACTGGTGATTAGGACTTACGGGTCACAGCAGATTCGCACTGTCAACGCAAAATCGCATTGACACAGCAAATCCGAGCCTTACAGCACAAGAATTTCGCCCAATCATAGGAAAATCGCCCTGACACAACAGATTTGCGCTGTCAGAGCACACCAATTTTCGCCCAATCACAGCAAAATCTCCCTGACATTGCAGATTCGCCCTTTCGCACCACAAGATTCGCCCTGACACATATATTCGCCCTGTCAGAGCATGTTTCGATAGCAGATGAATGAAAAATGGAATACACTTCCGATGAAACATTGAATACATTGATTTTGAATGATCAGACTTTTGTTTTAAGACACTCTGAAATTTCAGCCTTTTTTTCATACCAAGTCTGAGATTTTCAGACTAAAACTGTGTACTAGTCTGACGAATCAGACAGGCCAAAAACGAATCTGAGGGCCTGATCTCCCCCAACCATCCACCCACCCCGTTCACCATGCATGCGCTGCACAACTTATGCCTCCTATTCCTACAACCAATGCTCCCGGCACCGCGTGCCGCCTCTGGTGCCTCCTTGGCTTGGCTTTCCTCAGCTGCTCCTCGTGCCTCGGAGTCTCTGGCAGGTCATGCCACGTGCCTACCAACGAACATGAATGGTTAAGAGAGGGGGGAGGGTGGGAAGGAAGGACGCGTGGGGTATGGGAAGGGGTATGAAAGCAGGGCATCAAGAGATGCAGGCATGAGCACACAGTTACGCTGTCCGAACAATCTATGTCCGCACAGAAAAGCATATGTAGAGGCAAACGAAAGACCACCCGTGGGCAACATTCTGTTGCCACCTTAAACGTGGATGTATTGAACATGATCAATGATCATGGGCATAAACTGAGACCTAACCGGGCCAGGACAAGCCGACCTCATGGGTGGGCCGGGCTTGGGCGAGCCCTGGCCCGGCCCAGAGACGAGCAGGGGCAAGCCCGGGTCCGGAACATAACCAGACCGTCTCTGGCCCGTCCCTGCTCGCATCCACAACCCTCTTTATCGGGCCTGCACTACTCCCTCCCCTCCATCCCTCCACTCCCCTCCCCTCCTCCTCTGCTCGCGCCCACACCCCACTCTTGTCACACCCACAAAAGTGACTTGCACGGCATGATTCACATGCATCACTGACCAGGCCGACCCAGACTGCAATCTGGCCCAGACTGGCCCAGCCCGATGCGGAAACCCCACCTCTCTCCGCCACCTCCTGCCCTACCCACACCCTTTTCCCCCAAACCTCTCCCCCTCTGGCTGAAACTTGGGGGCGGGCGCAGGTGCGTGGGACACACCTGAGAGCCATGGCTGGCTGGAAGGCCACTGTGGGAAATTGGAGGGGTAGCGGAGGAGCAAGAGTGCAGCTGGGCTGTGGCGCGTGGCTCATGCTGTATAGCACTATTGGGTTCTGGTGTAGGGCGGATGACGAGTGGCGGTAGGGGGCATTGGAGTGCGGAGCTGGTGGGGTGGCGGAGGAGCAGGAGTGCAGCCGGGCTGAGGTGCAGGAGCTGATGGCTCATCTCATGCCGTATAGGGCGATGATTGCACACACGCCCCGCTGCTCGCGCCCACACCCCCCTCTTGTCTAACGGAGGAGCACAGCCATGATGCAATGCAGGAACTGGTGCTTCGTGCATGATGTGTGTGTTCTACTATCAGGTCCCGGTGCAGTGCAGAAGCTGGTGGCTCATGCTGGCAGGGTGCAGTGCAGAAGCTGGTGGCTCATGCTGGCAGGGTGCAGTGCAGAAGCTGGTGGCTCATGCTGTATACATACACCACTCCATTATTGGGTTCTCGTGTAGGGGGGATGGTGAATGGCGAGGCGGTGGTTGAAGAGAGGGGCAGAGAGTTGGAGAGGAAAGAGCGGGAGGCGGAAGAATGGGGACGGGAGAAGCACTCTTCTCACCAACTCCCAAAACGGTAGCGAGAATGAGAGCTAGGGGCAGGGCGTGGTGGGGCAAAACTCCAATGCCAAACAGGTCAAAATTGGTGGCAGAGAGGATGGCAGTGGTGGCGACGTAGCTGGGGACGGAGAACAGCATGAGAGAATATAGATACTGGCAAGGGCGAGACGGTGGGATATAGATGTTTCTTGCTGACGGCGCAATGCACACCTGACCTGATGGGTGATTAGGGTGGTTGGGGAAAGGGGGGAAGTAGGAGAGGGGGAGGAAGAGCAGCACAAGCAGAAGTGGGAGAGAAGCATTAACGTGCAGCAGGGGGGGCAGGTGAGGAAGGAAGGAACTCATTGGCACCTTGGAAAGCACAGACACACACAGCTCAGCCAGGAGTTTACCTAACCTGCTGCTCACTTGTCACTGACCTGCCACTCACCTGTGAGTGATCCATAGGTAGCCCTCATCCCTGACATCGCACACCTCCATCTCCCGCTGCTCGTTCTCGTATTCCTTGAGGACGAAAGCTGACCTTGAGCAGCCAGTAGCCCCGCTACTGGTGGCCTGCTGCTGACCAACGTCTCCCTCACCTCACCACACACCCACCGCCCTCTCCCTCTGCCCATTCCAGGAGAACACGGGCACGGCATGGGGCACCCAGCACCCACCCCAGCGTCGTGTGCAGCCACACCAGTGGCCTTCTGGTAACGCACACGTGGATTACACCATTCTCTCACCTCCCACACCCCTTCTTCGCCCTCCGCTTGTTCCTTATGAAGGACGCAGGCATGGGGCACCCAGCACCCACCCCAGCCTCGATGCACCCGTGACCCACCATTCGCCCACCGACAAGTATCAAACAGCCCAGCCCACCGCCCCCCACTCACTCGAAATGCACCCCCTTTTCCCACTGCTCGTCGATCCTCAAACAATGGCCAGAAAGGGGTGTAGGAGAAGCAGGTGTGAAGCTGGTGGAGGGAGGAGTGGGGAGAGGAGGTACAGCAGCTGCGTGAGAGCAGTGTGCAGCGTCTGCTCCCCTACGGATTTCTGCCCCTACTGTAGGGGCAGAAATCCGTAGGGGAGCAGACGCTGGCGTGGGAGAAGCAGGTGCGGAGCTGCGGGGAGGGGGGGGGGGTGGGTAGAGGGGGGTGGGGGTGGGAGACGGCATGGGCAAGAGAGCGGATGGTGCTTGAGTCCGTGGGGCAGACGTGGGTTTAAGAGACACATAGATCTGTGCAGATGTTAGGGGGTACAACGTGGTGTGGGATGCACATGTGCTCAGCTGAACTAATAGAGGGGGGTGGGGGATGGTGTGGTGCGAGTGGGGGCTGGGTGGGAATGTGGAATCCGGATTTGGGAGGAGAGGGGAATTAGTTGAAGGGGGATGGGGGAATGTATGTCACCTTGTCTGCAACTACCTCTTCAACTCACCTGGCCTGCGGACTGCCCACCAGCTCAAAAACACACTCTCACGGCCAGTCCACATACACTCTAACCCCCCCCCGCCACCCTCTCCCTCCCGCTCACCACCCCGCCCCCTCACATGCGTCTGCAGGCGCGTCTTGACAACGTCAAAGGGCGTGGTGCAGAACGCTGTCGACCCCGCTGCCCCCCCCACCAGCAACTGGGGGGGCGAGGAGCAGGGCGGGAGGAGGTGAACAGGGACGGGGAGGGGGAGGGAGGAGGGAGGGGTCGGGGAGGGATGGGAGAAGCAGGGGGGGATGGTAGAAGGAGGGGGGGATGGTGAGGATGATGGTGGAGGGGGAGAAAGGAGGGAGGAGGCAAAGGGCATGAGCAGTGCGAGTGGATTGAACAGCTCAGAACAGCATCTCAGTACGAGGGAAGGGGGTGGGGGTGGGTGGGTGAGAGAGACAACAAGACCATCCAGCACACATGCCCAGGCCCGCAGAAAGCCAACCAGCCCCCCTCCCTTTCCCCACCCCTCTTTCCCTTTCACCCTCCTCTTCCTCCCTCCATCCAAACCCAAAGCACAGAGGGGGGGTGGCAGAGGATACCCCCCTTAGGGAGGCCAGGGGGAGGGAAGTCCGCACCTGGTTGGCCGGGGAGAGCAGTGTTGCATGCGGCCCGTCCGCCCCCCCAGCTGCCACCCATCGGTAACAACAAGCGCATCTTCTATGGCCTCCGCCCATCCCAGCAGCAGCCCCCCTTCACCACTTGGTCGCCCTTCTTCGTCTAGTCATCGCCCCTGCCACCGCCAATGCCGCTTGAGCGGCTTGGAAGTGCCCCCGCCTGTTTCACCAAGTGTCGCAGCGCATGCTACTTCCGCCATTATTCCCCCTACTCTTTTCCCACTTCTTCTCTTCACTTCTCTTTCCCCTTCTCTTCAACCATATGCTTCTCCCCTTGTGCTTCCACAGGGTTGAAAATCTCGCCAACATCGCAAAACCAATCAGTTTCGCAGAACCTGCGGTTCACCGAGCTGCCACCAGTAATAGCAGACGTCCCATCCCCCGCCTTCACTCGCATGATCTGCCTCCCAAAACTGCGATTCCGTCTTTCCAGTTGCTCTTCTAAACCTGCAGCCTGTGCAAGCAGCCGATTGCAACCATATCATCATCCGACAGACGAGAGCGACAATTCGCCTCAACAGGCAACAGGATCGTACAAAAGAGGCCTGCAAGCGATGGCGTTAGGTTGGTGAACGAAACACAGGAAAGAATCCTATCGTGAAACTGCGGATCCCTATCTACTGGGATTGATCCCAACCGCAGAAAGGAGGATCGCGAACCGCAGCCAGCAGCGCCGCCGACTTAAGGGCAGCGTCGAGGACGAGAAGCGGCGGAAAGAGGGAAACTGAGGCGTGTGGGGACAAACCGGGGTTCAAAATTCGGAAATCGAGATGGGGGATTCGCGAAAGACTACGCTCCAGTGTGCGAAAAGCTGTGCGCGGTCCGTCGCACTCCTGCACGGCGGCGCAAAGAAAGCGCCTCAAGGTGCTCCACATCGGTTCACGCTGCTCGCGGGTGATCGTCTCAGCACCTTCCGCGCCTCTACGGAGTGTCACTGACGGGCTGCTACACACGCCGATAGACGATGACATCTGTCTCTTCGACAATGTCGCAGTATCTCTCCCCCATCTAATTTTCACCCGATGATCCTCGCTTACGAAATGTTCAGCTCGCTTCTCCCCATCGATCGCAGTGCCTTTGCGCGAGTTCGAGTTAAGTCTTGGAGCTGAATGGCGGCATCCCGTTATACAGCCGAGGCGCGTTTGCGCGAGAGTGGAAGGGCGACAACCAAGTGATTTGATTATGATTGCTCTCGATGCACTGACACGTGGCGACACTGACGGACGTGGCAAAAGTGACAGCTATCGAATATGGACGAGACACCCGTGCCTGCTGGCGCGGGTCTAGCTGTTGGGGAACAGAACGTAGTAGCATTCAGCTTTAGTTATGGGTGGTAGCGAAAAGCAGGGGTGTGTGGAGGAAATTGGTGAAAAGGTTTTGCGACGTGAAAGTCCAACAGGGACATTTCGAATCTCGTATGCTTGGATTTGCACTTCTAGCCGTTACCATCCAGGTGTTCGCAGAATTACGAATTGGCCTGCGAAACGAGCAGTGTCCTGAACTTGTGTTCGAGACCTAATTTGCAGTCACTGTGTCATTTTCAGTTCACCTACGCTTGTGCTTTTGAGCGAGGTACAACTCCAGTGCCTATACTCCTCCCCCGACCGTTACAGATTGCTAACGGGATTCGCACTCCAGAAGCGTACTTTTGCTTAGGTGATGACATTTGTAGGGAGCCAATTATTCGCACTTCGTACACAGATCAATGAACGAGGTGAATTCTGGTTATTGGCATGATCCATGTGAAACTCAGCACGAGTCATGAAAAGAACTAATCGTACAGTGATGGATGTCACTCCATTGCTAGCCAAAGTAATCTTATTCACTCTCTTATTAGCTCGGGTTACTACTTATCATGGCGCATATTCAAATTTCAAACCCGCATAGCAGTTAGAACCAGTCATACGGATTCCTCCGCCCCCTCCATGATATCTCGTCTGCTCGTTTCAAAGCCGTCTCGTCTCGCCTGAGATTTGCGGGGTATCAGAAACGTTTGGCGTGTCCGTAACCCGTTGCGTTTAGTAGGCTTCATTGCCTCTCCTAGCCTCACGACGTTTTTTATATGTGAAACCCTAGAAACAATTTCGAGGTAAGGCTTGTCCCGTCATTCCATTCATTTCCGCTCGCAAACTGGCACTACCCTCCATCATCATCATTTCTCCATTCGTCGACGGATTTGAGTCCTTCAGTGCTCCCTACCCTCTGTTTCTCTCGTCCTTTGCCTCCACACTGGCGTCTTCATTTCACGCTCCCAGAGCTTAGTGCAAAAATAGAAAAGCAGTAATCGTTTAGTCATGCATGCAGGCGCCATCCGTGCTTTTATTCGGGCAAGTTGATGCCAATCTAGGCATTCTTTAGTAATGCGACAAGAAATTACCGACTGCGTGGCCTCGCATTGCTGCAAGTCGCATCATCACACATCCTTGTCTTTCATTTGTCGGCGTTCGACCCCCACCTTCACATCCATGCAGTGAACCGCCTTTTTATGGAATCCGAGTATTGATTGCATTGATTACTTGCCCGGACCCGCTGATCCCCCGCAACGAATTCAAAGTTGCCAAGCCTAGCCATCAGTACCACGGAACGCAGATCGACTGACTCCTCGTTGCTGCTGCTTGTCGAAACACGACAGAACCCTAAATAGAGGTACGCATCCTGACTGTTATCGCATAATCATCGCTCTCTTCGCCATCAGCCTCCTGCATTGCAAGGCTCCCAACGCACGAACCATGGTGCTCGTGACATGCATTCGAGCCTGCTTTCCTTGCCAAGGTGCGTGGTTGCTTGCCCCTGGACACATTTATTACCTGGCCCCTTCCCGTGCTGCGTGGTTTCTGCTTGGCTCATTCAACATGCTCTGACTGATCTAACGTTTAACTGACCTAGCCCGTAAGTGACCTAGCCTGTGAGCGGCCTACCCTCTGACAAGTGAGATGGTTTTTGTAGGTGTCACACTCCTTGAACAGTAGCTAGTTTGTTAAGCAACCTCTCGTGTCCCGTAGGTGACCCTCTCAACCCAACCACGTCCACTCTCTCATTCTGTAATACTCTGGTCTATTTGTGAGCAAGTGTCGAGTCGAGCCAGGCTCGCCGCTACGCTACAGCTTCGGCTCGTTGTTCATGACCAAGTCAGATTTAGTAATGCCTGATCCGAGGAGTCTCTTGGCGCTGACGGGCTCACGGTGAACCTTAAATTGTGTACCATACTTTAGTTCCACATCTTCCAGCCTTCCACGTGTTGTCCACTGGCTCGGTGGACTTGACATTTTCACACTCGCTGTCGGCCTGAGCCATGCCAGGCCTATAACGCATGCGATGTGATGGAATGTGACTGGAGTTGAGTCGCACTGGTTTACGACCAGCTTTGTCGTCTCGAGCCAGCCATCTTGCCGAGGTGGGATCGGATCGGCCCGTGACCCGTCAACATTTATACGCTGCAGTTGCGCAGTGCTCGGCACGAGTTGCGTTGTAAACCGTGTCTGAGAAAAACTTTATATCGACTTATAGAAAGAGGAAAAAGGCGCTCAAATGTCTCGCCACGGTTCAGCCATTTGTTACCATTCCTTTTCTCCCTTGCATATGCTTTCAAGTTCCTTTATCGTGTCCTGCTATGATAGCGTTGACTCTATAATCTGCGAGCATCAAAACGCTTGACGCTTCAAAGCCATCATGGTTGTCGTCGTGTGCTCGCTCTGCCGACTCTGACGTGCCCGACTGTGGTAAGTAGAAGAAGAGGAGGCTGTCAGAATGAAAGAAACAGGAATAGATGAACTAGCACAAAGTTGGGTACAAGTAGGAAACCCTAAGTTTGTGTACCCCCTAAGGTTAAACCCACTATAGCCTACACAATGTAAACATACAATGTTTGACACACCCCCATAGGCGAAGTGGGAGACAACCAGAGGGTCACAAGACCAGTCAAAGCAAAGCAAAGCTCAGGGCGGATCTCAAGGATACCACACAAATTCCGAGCACAAGCAAGCGGTCACAAGACCAGTTCACATGCAGTTTGATAATAAACAAGAGGTACAGTGATCACAACCTAGCAAGTGTAAGCATGCAGGTATATATATAGAGATCACAGTACAAGCAAAATCAAGAAGTGAGCAAGTGAGGGACAGTAGGCACAAGGCCTAGAACAGTACAGAAACGCTGATGATCACAAGGCTGAAGCGCCTTGGTGAACACATCAGCAGTGTTGGCCCGAGTGGCCACGTACGAAAGACGAAGCTGACCACGCTGCTGCAGCTCTCGAGCAAGGAAGTAGCGCAGAGCGATGTGCTTCGTTCTGTGCTCCAGTCTGTGCTCCTGACACAAGGCAAGGGCGGCCTTGTTGTCGACGTACAGCACTGGAGGAGAACGAGGCCGCTCTCCCAGGTCGGTCAGCAGGTAGGTGAGCCAGCGAAGCTCCTGGGCAGCCATGGCTGTGGCGTAGATCTCAGCCTCACAACTGGAGCTGAGAACAGAGGAAGAGCGTGTAGAACGCCAAGAAACTGAGCCAGAGCCAAGGCTGAAGGTGTAACCCTGAGACGACCGCTGTGTAGCCTGGTCGTCAGCCCAAGAAGCGTCTGAGTGTCCAGTGAGGACAACGTCGCGCCGTCCTCCAAGCACAAGCCCCATGCCCGACGTACTGCACAAGTAGCGCAACACCCTCTTAGCGGCATCCATGTGCTCCTTCCGGTGACGGCCAGGAGCGACATAGCGTGCTAGGATGCTAAGAGGGTAGGCTAGGTCAGGTCGAGTGCAGGTCATCAGGTACATGAGGCAGCCCACAAGCTCTGGATACGGGCCACTCGGCTCTACGGACTCATCCGAAGGCAGAGCTGAGAGCGAGTGACCGGTAGGCAGAGGAGTGGGCTGAGGCGAGGAGTACGTGAAGCGGAAGCGCTGAAGGACCTGCTGCACCATGTGTGACTGAGTCAAGGTGATGGTGCGCTGTGCTCTGTTCCGGGTGATCCGCAAGCCAAGATAGCTTGTCAGCTCACCCAGGTCTGTGCACGTGTGTCTCTTCTGCAGCTCCGACTTCACTAGGGCCAGTCCCTAAGTGTCAGCAGTGGCAA